GTCACCATGCAAAAGTAAATTTGAATTTTTGGGTCAGCAGCAATGCTCCCTCTAAGCTGTGGAGTCTTGTGAGCAAAAATTCTACTTTGCGAGCTACTGGCATCAAAGTTGTGAGTGAGAGATTCGGCTACTGCATAAATTAGTTTTGCTCTGGAACCGTTCTTCCTTTTTTTTTTTATGGCCCCCCGTAAGGGATTTTTTATTTGCATTTACTAAAAACTACAACGAAGTTAGGGAGGGAATCTACACACTATAGGAGAAAGAAAAGAAAACCTACTAAAAACCCAAGGGTTGGAGGTAACTTACAGCTTGTAAAAAATTTGCTTAACAATAATAAAAAGCTTTCTTTTTTTCTTTTTAAAATTATTTTTATTAATTTTTTCTCAAAAGTAATAGTAGTATTAAACTTACAGAACAGCATACATAGTTTGCAAAACAATAGAGTACTACCCTGTTTCCCCGAAAATAAGACCTACCCCAAAAAATGAGCCCTAGCAGGATATCTATGCATTTGTGGTATAAGCCCTAGTGTGTCTTCTTGAGAAAAAATAAATATAAGACAGTGTCTTATTTTCGGGGAAACACAGTAGTAGTTTTACTTTGTTGTCAACAAGCTCAGTTTAGTACCTGTGACCCTTGTGTTTAGTTAAATATAAAAATGAGCTAATGCAAAGAAGTAATAGCGTGTGTCCCATTTAATTATATCATAACAATGTCACACCTAGGCATTGCAGTATGGTCAAAGAGGTAAAGTTTAGTAGTCTAGTAATTTTAAGTATAAAGAGTTTTGGAGTTGAGAATCCGAAGCTGAGATATATTCCATGAATGGGGTCCATTTCTCCGTAAAATTGGATGATTTAGGACTGATGTCTGGTTGAAGTTAACATTGAGAGTGATCAATCATCAATATAGCTTGTGAAAACATCCCAACAAATCTGGCTACATGAAGAGTAGTCCAGGAGAATCGCTATTTAACTTAGACACAAATTACAGAGAACAATGGCATCTCATTTAACCATTATTTTTCCCTCCACCATTTAAAGCAAATTAACAATAAGTCTCCCTCAGTAGATATTACACAGTCTCATTTTCTCTTCCATTGCTGTTTTCCTCTTTCTTCTTCCCTGTGCCGCCACCTTGCTGTATCAGGAACTGGCCATCTCAAAACAAAGTCCCTTCTACTTTTTCCAGGACTGTTCCGCTTAAATTCTTGCCTTCAATCATAGGGGTCTCGTTCCAGTTTGCTTTTCACTGCCCGGCTTGAAGAGAGTCTCGTCAGTCGTCACCTTATTGCCCAGCAGACTTAATCATGGTCTGCATGATTATGGTCTGCATACTTATGGTCTGCATACAGGCCCTTCGAACTGCAAATGCCCATTTGATTCTCCTCTTCGATCCCGGAAGCCCCTATGATCATTGGTTAGACGCTTCTCCTGGAGCCACCCTTCCAGAGCAAAGGCAAAAATGTGTGCGCCAGAGGCTGAAAAACTGAGCTAGCTCACACTCACTCAGCTTAGAGGGAACACTGGTCCCCATACGAAAAAGGTTGGGAACCACTAACTTAGGGGACAGGGAATCCATCATTAAACCTGTTCAAAGGTGTGCTGCGGATATACCTTCTGTGCGCAGAGCTGGTTCGTCGGCCAGCCAGAGATGCAGGGGCCTCTCCCGAGGAAATAACCAAGCTCATTCGGCTTGAAGTGCAGGCGATTCCCCCTACCCTGCCCCCATGTTGGTGGTCAGCAGCTGGCATTGCTGGAAATGCCTTTTTCCAGGCGTGCCCAGTGCCTTTGTACAGAGCAGCTCTCAATCTGAAACCGCAGCTTCCCTTCGGCCTCTTCTCCGGGCGATTCCGCATCTAGCATTTGCTCCACGTTGTCTCAACCGGGAGGAAAAAGTGCAGCTCAAAACCACATCCAGATACCTCGGGGCCCCGTACTGACTGCAGAAGGTGCCATAAAAACGCCATGCCGTCTGGAGGGTACCATGAAACCTGATGATCCAAGGAGGTGAAACCAGCCTGCAGGGCAGAGGGGAACTTCTGTTCCAGCGTGGGTTTCATCAAACAATGGAGGGAAAAGCCAACACAGAGTCAGCTTTGGTCACCGCCCCCAGTTGTATATTATTCAAGCCCCCAATGCAGTAGAATCACAGAATCATAGAATGTTAGAGTTGGAAGGGACCTTGCAGGTCATCTAGTCCAACTCCCTGCACTCTACTGGAGCATGGCCGAAAGATAGCCCTACAACATACTCGAAAGATGGTGGTCCAGCCTCTGCTTAAAAACGTCCAATGAAGGAGCATCCACCACCTCCCGAGGCAGAATGTTCCACTGCTCAACCACTCTAACAGTTAGGAAGTTTCTCCTGATATTTAGCCGGTAAAGACTCCCTTGTAATTTTCACCCATTAGATCTAGTCTTGCAATCCGGAGCATGAGAGAATATAGATCTGCTCCATCTTCTGCATGACAGCCCTTCAGATACTTGAAGAATGCAATCATGTCCCCTCTAAGCCTTCTCTTTCCCAGGCTGAACATACCCAACTCTTTCAGCCTTTCCTCATAAGACTTGGATTCCAACCCTCTCACCACCCTGGTTGCCCTCTTCTGGACACGCTCAAGCTTGTCAACATCCTTCCTAAAATGTGGTGCCCAAAACTGGGCACAGGACTCCAGGTGGGGCCTGACCATAGCAGAACAGAGCGGAACGACCACCTCCCGTGATCTGGACACGGTGCTTCTGTTTATGCACCCCAAGACTGCATTAGTTTTTTTCGCAGCCACATTGCACTGCAGGCTCATGTGTAGCTTGTGATCAACCAGAACACCCAGATCCCTTTCACATGTGCTGCTGTCAAGCCAAGTCCCTCCCATTCTATATCTGTGCCTTTGATTTTTGTACCTAAGTGTACACAGTGTACAAGTGTACAGAGCAGTAGCTCCTCTCTTAGCCAAATAAGCCACGGTTTCCCTTGCAGTCTTCTTTTCCATACATGCCTTGAGCGTTTATGGCTATGAGGGATAACACCCAGTGAAGGAATTTGTTCTCCTCTTAGGTCTGGTTTCCGATAACCCATTAAGGGGTTTCGATCCGGTTTTACGACTTCCAAATGGTTCCGGGGTGTTTGTGTGTGTATTTATTCAAGTAAGCCGGGAAGAAAAAGTTGCCACGGAGATAATGGTTGCTTTATGAGAGATGTGAAACGTTTTTATTACCATGGCTGGAAAAATCCAGGTGCCCACTTGGCAAGGTGGAAGAATTCACTTCTAGAAGAGAGAAGAAGAAGAAGAAGAGATTGGATTTATACCCGGCCCTTCACTCGGAGTCTCAGAGTGGTTTACAATCTCCTTTCCCTTCCCCTCCCCACAACAGACACCCTGTGAGGCAGGTGGGGCTGAGAGAGCTCTGACAGAAACTGTTCTTCCAAGAACAGCTCTGACAGAACTATGGCTTGCCCAAGGTCATCCAGCAGCTGCATGTGGAGGAGTGGGGAATCAAACCCGGTTCTCCCAGATTAGAGTCTGGACACTTAACCACTACACCAAACTGGCTCTAGTTTTCCCCCCTCCCCCCAAAAAAAATCTGTTAGAACTTTTTAATTGGAGCCTGTTTTGTTTGTGACCCCCTTTCGACCATATTTGGTCCCCGTAAGAAACCTGTAAAAGACAAGACTTGCTGCTCTTGGTCAGTCCATTGGTAGCTTATAGAATCATAGAGTGGGAAGGGACCTCCCACCCCCACACCCAGTGACCCCTGCTCCATTCCCAGAATAAATATTTAAATATACTTAGATATTAAATATTTGCTAAAGATAACGGAATGCTCTTTTGTGTCTGTCCTCCATGCCGTAGAAACTCGGAAGCTTTGAATAATTAATCCGAGTAATTATTACCTAATCCCAAATTAAACATTTGTCTTTTCAAAGAAGGTATGTTTTCAAAGAGGGAATCAATTTGGTGTAGTGGTTAAGTGCTCGGACTCTGATCTGGGAGAACCGGGTTTGATTCCCCACTCCTCCACTTGCACCCGGCTGGATGACCTTGGGCAAGCCACAGTTCTGGCACGGCTGTTCTTGAAAAAGAGCAGTTTCTGTCAAGAGCTCTCTCAGCCCCACCTACCTCACAGGGTGTCTTTTGTGGGGAGGGGAAGGGAGAGGAGTTTGTAAGCTGCTCTGAGAATCCTCTGGGTAGTGAAGGGCGGGGTATAAATCCCATCTCTTCTTCTTCTTTTACCTCACAGGGTGTCTGTTGTGGGGAGAGGAAGGGAAAGGAGTTTGTCAGCCGCTCTGAGACTCCTCTGGGTAGCAAAGGGCGGGGTATAAATCCAATCTGTTCTCCTTCTTCTTCTTTTACCTCACAGGGTGTCTGTTGTGGGGAGGGGAAGGAAAGGAGTTTGTCAGCCGCTCTGAGACTCCCTTTGGGTAGTGAAGGGACGGGTATAAATGCAATCTCCTCTTCTTCTTCTTTTACCTCACAGGGTGTCTGTTGTGGGGAGGGGAAGGTAAAGGAGTTTGTAAGCTGCTCTGAGAATCCTCTGGGTAGTGAAGGGCGGGGTATAAATCCCATCTCTTCTTCTTCTTTTACCTCACAGGGTGTCTGTTGTGAGGGGAAGGGAAAGGAGTTTGTCAGCCGCTCTGAGAATCCTCTGGGTAGTGAAGGGCGGGGTAGAAATCCCATCTCTTCTTCTTCTTCTTTTACCTCACAGGGTGTCTGTTGTGGGGAGGGGAAGGGAAAGGAGTTTGTCAGCCGCTCTGAGACTCCTCTGGGTAGCAAAGGGCGGGGTATAAATCCAATCTGTTCTCCTTCTTCTTCTTTTACCTCACAGGGTGTCTGTTGTGGGGAGGGGAAGGGAAAGGAGTTTGTAAGCTGCTCTGAGAATCCTCTGGGCGGGGTAGTGAAGGGCGGGGTAGAAATCCCATCTCTTCTTCTTCTCTTCTCCTCTCAGAAAGCGTGTCGCTTGCCCAATGCTAATCCCTTTTCCTGTGCTTTCTTTCTGGCAGGGAACACCGTTAGCAACCTGTTTTTCATCCTACCTCCAATCTATGGTGCAATTCAGTGTTACAAAGACGGCCTTGAAAAACGGTATTTGGCTGCTTATATGGGCCTCATGGGTAAGTGGGAAAGCTTTATTATCTCCTCAGGTGGGCGGGGAGTTCGGACAGCCCGATAGCTGTCAAATGGTGGACCTTTCGAGCACTCCCCCTCCCCTATTACTCTTCCAGGTGTTGCGTCCATCAGGCAAGGGCATAGAAAACTTGGTGTGCATTTTTGAGGGCTCCCAGTGGCCCAGTGTGGCTGAAACAATTTGGCACCTGGGGAGGGGGGGGGGAATTGATGCTTAAGAACATAAGAGATGCCAATGTTGGATCAGGCCAAAGGCCCATCCAGTCCAACACTCTGTGTCACACAGTGGTCAGAAATACCAGGTGCCATCAGGAGGTCCACCAGTGGGGCCAGGACATTAGAAGCCCTCCCACTGTTGAAACCCCCCCCCCCAAGCACCAAGAAGACAGAGCATCACTTGCCCCAGAGCCCCTATCTATACCTTGTGGCTAAGAGCCACTGATGGACCTCTGCTCCATATGCCTATCTAATTCCCTCTTGAAGCTGTCCATGCCTGTAGCCGCCGCCACCTCCTGTGGCAGTGAATTCCATGTGTGAATCACTCTTTGGGCGAAGGAGGACTTCCTTTTATCCGTTCTAACCCGACCGCTCAGCAATTTCATGGAGTGCCCACAAGGAGTTCTTGTATTGTGAGATGTGAGATACGAGTTCTTGTATTGTGATGCTTCTGTGAGAAGTGAGGAAGCCACCTAGCAATGTGTGGCTTCAGGTCCTCGCGGCCCCCATCCAGGAACGCTTCCACATGGCCAGCTCAGTGGGCTGCGGCTAGTGGTCGAGTGTCTGCCTGGCATGTCGTAAGCCGCCCTGAGGTCTGAATCGCTTCTCACCAGAGGGGCCACGGATCGAACCTGCGCCTCCGTGTGCCTTTGGACACCAGAAGCTGCAGAGTAAAGGGGAGGTGGAGGAGATGGAAGGCCAAGGGTCGGG